TCCAGTTATTGTTAAAGGACAACTCTGAATTCAAAACCTATATATAAATAATGAATCTGCCAGATAGCCTTGGAAATTTTCTACACCTCCAACTCTAGGTTAATAAAACGAGAGATGGAGTGCATCTAACTTAGTTTGTAACCAATCTAAGGAAAGGGCAACTCTGAATTCAGAAATGCTTGAATATGGATCAAGCAAATTTGCTATACATGTACATATATATCCATAAAAATAATTCGGTTGATTGACTAAATTATTCTACAGATATAAGCTAAAAAGAAAAAACAAAACAAAGTAAAGCCATATATATCCAAGATACATCATGCTATTTGCAGGGAGTTGAATCTTTATCTAATAATTGGAAGTAAACAAAACTCTACCGCCATTATGTTCTGGACGGTGGCAAATGAAATTATAAATTAGAAAAGGTAATTTAATCCGGTTTCAAGAAACAGGGCAAGTCAGATAAATGTGACGCCAATAATGAAATTATTAAAATAACTATAGATCAATAAAGATCTCAGGACCGCAAATTAGCAGCTTTACAATGTGCTAAGTACTAATATTTCCGTAATGAGACGTGCACAAAACCCTGTGGATTTAGTCTCTGACAACGATCTTATCAATCAACTCACGTTTTTGTAATGGCCTTTTCTCACATAACTTCACCCGAAACAATTTTAGAGATGAAAATTAAAGTGCTGCTCGTCACGACATGGTTTTCATAATATAAATTAGTCGGTTTGATATGAACGAGGGTTTTACGATCTTTGCTTGTAAAATGAAATTAGATTGAAATTGTCTGGCGACGTAACTAGTCATTAAAACCTTTTCCTCAACCTTTTCTAAATTTCTATCCGTTTTTCAATACTTTATTCCTATCAGTCTTATAATGAGTTTTATTTTATTTTTATTTTCTTATAATGGATTTTCATGTTCTTCCTATCATCTCCATATTTTTTTAAGATTTTCATCTTTCCTGAGAATTTCTCTTTCTTATTTATTATTTCTACAAATTATGCTTTTCTAAAAGTTTATATTACAAAAAAATAGTTATTTCCTATATATGCATCCATAACCTGGAAATATAATGCTGAAAACATATTTATTTTAATCTTTTGAGCCCAGCGTTCCTGAACAATTTTAACCCATCTGTCTGAGCTCCTGAGTCAAAATTAGCAAATAATTGGTATGTAATTTTTCATGGTAGATATAAAAATAGTTACAAGTGTTTACCGATCTTTCAACCGGAGTCTTGGCATTACGTAATTTTCTCTAGCACTGTTTAACCGGTGTATTGACATTACGTCATTTTTCTCTACCACTGTTCAACCGGAGTCTTGGCATTACACCATTTATCTCTACCACTTTTCAACCGGAGTCTTGGTATTACAACATTTTACTCTACCACAGTTCAACCGGAGTCTTGGCATTACGTGAATTTTTCTCTACCACTGTTCAATCGGAATCTTGGCATTACGTCATTTTTCTCTACCACCTTTCAACCGGAGTCTTGTTATTACGACATTTTTCTCTACCACTGTTCAACCGAAGTCTTGGTATTGCGTCATTTCTCACTACCACCTTTCAACCGGAGTCTTGGCATTACGTCATTTTTCTCTAGCACTGTTCAACCGGAGTCTTGGCATTACGTCATTTTTCTCTAGCACCCGTAAATCGGTGGTAAGATCTCAAATGGTTAAGCAAAAACTCTTAAGTGGAATTCATACATACAATCTTGGATAAAAGGCTAGCAAAATGCTCTGAGTCGTAATCGATGTTTTCTACGTGAATTTATCCTTACAAGGGTTAAATTAGACCAAAACTGGAGTTGTCTTGTTGCAGACTGGCGAATGTATTTCAAGGTATCAGAAGGTTATTATATCGAAAGGGGTAGTGATGTTGGTGTTCTTAGACATTCATCCACAACAAATTAAGAAACATGAACATTGATGGCAAATTATTCAAAAGAATTCAGATTGAAAACGACATAATTAAAGGTTTAACAATAACATTGATTTATATAGAATAAAAATACACAATTAAATCAGAGATTGTTGAATAAGTGTGGATGGTTGAGTTGAATTATTTAGTGTATTTATGCCAAGTTTCAGTGTGTGTGAAACTGTTACTAAGATTTGTGTGTAAAATTAAACTGTTTAGTCGTGTATAAAAATGTCTTTTATGGTAGTTCAACCAATAGTGTGTATGCGTATGCTTGTTTAAACTATGCTCCAAGGCTGGTATGAGTTGTGTACTTTTAGTTTGTTTTGGTGTTTGATTGAATGTTTACGAATACTTATTATTGTAGTGTGTCATTTCACTTTCTTTAGTATCGTAAGCAATTGTTATTGGTAGAGCGAAATACTGTTAGTCGAGTCAGAGAAGTTTGCCCGGGAAAAATTTAGTTGGTTAAGATTTTGACTGGCATGGATTAGTTTGGCATTTCTCCAGGATGGAATTCTGATTGCCTCGCATCGATTCGGACGCTTCTATTTATTTAGTTCTGGATCCAAAAATCGGCTCAAAAGCGTTAGGCGCGAAAAGATATTTTCGCTTAAATTTGCTACAGTCTTACTATACCTGGACCAGAGGTGATCAATCCTCATTTTGAAGATCGATTACGTCGTCTTTGATTGATTTATTTGCTTTTTTAGCTTATCAACTTTTTCAGGTTATTTAAAGCAAGAATCATTTTTAGAGTTTAGGATTATTTTTAAATAATAATTTTTCTATTCCAAATTCTACTAATTATCTCATGGCGAGAGAATGAAATTTCCAAACGTCATTTGTGCGCAAATGAATATGACGAACTCAGCTGTAATGGGAAATCGACTCTCCGATTTTTAATTCATTATCCATTACACTGCACGCACATTCAAACTTACAGCACCTTATATTCCCAAGCGGTCAGCCATATATGTACTGGCCAGGCCCAACGCTGCTTAACTACGCAGTTTTGCGTGGGAATAATTATTTTCTACTCTGCAAACTCCTACAGACACAACGTTGCATCCCTGTTGCGTCTCTGTCAATAATTCCATCGCCAATGTTTAGATGAGCACCATTCTTATTTCCAAAAGCCAAGACATATGCCTCTAAAACACACCATGCTACATCCACTGAGTTGAATCATCTTCATTTCTTCCGTATTGCAAATGTAAAAAGAAAGCCCCAGTCGTAATTTTCCACTAACTGTCATTTCGTAGAATAAACTCCCATGTGATTTCTTTCCTGAACTCTTCAACTTTGATTTCTTCAAATCAAGGGCCAACTGTCATCTTTATCAGTCTTCCTCATAATCTTCATTATCCATTCTAATTTAACTGTAACATTCGACCCTGAGTGGCTATCATGCTTTTTATCGATTTGTTATATAGAAAACTAGTTTTAAAACATAATGTCTTTTAATATTAATAGCATCATACTTGTTTTAGAGTATGTGTTCGAAATGTTTTATGAAACATGAAGTATAATTATTTTAACAATAAGACATCATGAATATTTTAACAGATATCCCAAAAACCCTGTCTGATGTTGATATGCTAAATAGAATCGAATTCATCAATCTAGAACGGTTATTTATGTTTTCTCCTATGTGCCATAACCCTTCTGAAAGTTGGCGATACACAACATCCTTTCTTTTGTAGCCCTTAGTAAATTTTTTCCTTTTTCCTACATGTACTAATCCATGTTCTGCCAACCATCGACACAAGCTCGTTATGTAGGTTATGTACATGTTCTCAGAGAGACTGTTATAATGCTACATCGTACACAAAATTATATAAACATATATACACGTGCCCCACGCAAAGAAATATATATTACATATATCTACACAGCAAAGCAGAGTGTAAGGAGAAAATATAAGGAACGGTATTACATAGAATATAGAAATTCTTCTGTGTTTCTGGAGAGGTCATGTTTAGGACGTCAAATATAAATGGTCCGGATTGATCTACTATGTCCAAGGCGAGGACATATTTTATGAAGGGGAAAACGACGTGTCTTGGGCTTTCCCAGTTTGAGAACAACGAGCCTGTGCCTATTTCTCTATCTGAAAAAAAAACATATTCTCAAAGGGAAACGGCACTATGGACTTGTAAACTGTGACATTTGCTGGAGGAGGCAGATTTGGCCTCAGCTCAGTTTAGCTGCTGTCAACAAACTGATTGGCCACTATCTTCACTGAATCTATCACTAAGTGGCTATCATGTGACACATGTGACTTATCTCCACCAAAGGGAGATAATGGGCTTCTCTATCCCTATAGATTCTAAGGAATTTCGGGCCGAATAAGTTACCATTCTCCTTGCAAAAATGTCTGATTTTCAGTAATTTGAGAAGTGGCATGTATATTTTCTGACCTCAGTTTATCACTTTTCTGTAAAAAGTTATTAAACGAGATGCAAAAGAATAAAACAAAAAAACATGGACGGGATATATATGATGGGCTTTACATTGAGCCTGTCTTTTCACTTTATATAGGTACGTGAAATATATGTACATAAGATTTTCGCACTGGCCTATTTAAATATAAGTCTAATTATACGTTGGGTGACAATAAAAGAAAATTCCTAAATCCTTATAAATTTCATTCAAAATAGCATACACTTCAAAGCAGTGTAAGTAGAGATATATCTTTTGCAAGTGGACGAAGTAAAATGGCTGCATGTTGAAGTTGAATAAATTCATCGCTTGTAATTCAAAGGTTTATTGAATATATTTTGCTCTCTAACAACTAGAGTATATTTCTCTAATTCAGACTGATTGTTTGGTATCCGATTGGATCTGCAGCAGCGTTTCTGTTCAGTGCCGTCGGCCGTTATCACCTAACTTTTGTCTAAATCGAAGCGCGTAAGAGACGGCGTATCAAACCGTAGACATAAGCAGTGATCTCGCTACTCTTATCCCCGTTGGATTTGATGCTTTCCCTATCATGGCGTATTATATTTGAAGTTGCTACAAAGAATCTTCAAAGAGATGCAAAGTAGCGCCAGCTATCGGCTGTTGAGAGAAAATGCTAGAAATGCGCTTGCAGTCGGCGTTGACGTCGAATCCACTGCGGGCAGAAGAAGCAGACCTTGTGCAATAATATGGATTATATCTTCATTTATAAATATATTTACATAGCGTTTGATCTCGCTCAGAAAGAAAGAAAGAAAGAAAGAAAGAAAAAAGAAAGAAAGAAAGAAAGAAAAAAAAATTAAAGGAAGAAGATGATATTGATAAAATAGCCTGGGAAACGAGAGATAAGAAAAAAAAGCGAAAGATAAAATGTAAATATAAAATACAAAGTAAAGAACACAAGAGAAAACAGCGAAAAAGAGAGAATAAGACGGTTAAGGCAAAAAGAAGGAAATGACGATAGAAATAAAGAAACAAAGAAACAAAAGAAAGAAAGAAAGAAAGAAAGAAAGAAAGGAGAGACAGACAAAATGAAAGAGAGAAAGAGAGAGAGAAAGAGAGAGAGAAATTAAGAAAGACAGGGAAAGAAAAAATATTGAAAGAGAGATGAAGAGAAAGGGGAAGATTGACAGAAAAATGAAATACTGAAAGAAAGATTGAAAGATAAAAGACTGAAAGGAAGGAAGATTGAGAGAAAGAAAGAAAGATTGAAAAAGGGAGATTGAAAGAAAAAACGACAGAAAGACACAAAGCTTGAAAGAAAGAATGATTGAAGGAAAAAGACTGAAAGAAAGATTGATTGAAAGAAAGAAAATTTGAAAGAAGGAAAGAAAGATTAGAAGAAAGAAAGAAAGATTAGAAGAAAGAAAGAAAGATTGACAGAATGAAGACTGAAAGAATGGTAAGATTTAAAGAATGAAAGTTTGAAAGAATGATTAAAAGAAAGAAACAAGAATGAAAGATTGAAAGAAAGAATGATTGAAAGAATAAAAACTGAAGGAAAGAATAATTGAAAGAAAGAACGATTGAAAGAAATAAAGATTTAAAGAAAAAAGATTTAAAGCGAGAAAGATTGAAAGAAAGAAAAACATTGAACGAAAGAATAATAGAAAGGGAGTAAAATTGAAAGAAAGATTGAAAGAAAGAATGATGGAATAAAAAATATCATGAAAGACAGAAAGATAGAAAAAAAGAATGATTGAAGAAAAAGACTGAAAGAAAGATTGAAATAAAGAAAGATGGAACGAAAGAAAGAATGAAAGATAGATAGAAAGAATGAAAGATAGATTGAAAGATTTCAAGAATAAGATTGAAAGAAAGACTGAAAGAAGAAAAACTGAAAGTCAGAAAGATTGAAAAAAGAACGATTGAAAGAAAAAAAAGACTGAAAGAATGATTCAAAGAAAGAAAGATTGAAATAATGAATGATGTAAATATAGAAAGATTGAAAGAAAGAAAGATTGAAAGAAAGCATGAAAGAAAGATTGAAAGAAAAACGATTGAAAGAAAGGATGTAAGAAACATCGAAAGAAAGAAAGTTTGAAAAAAATTGAAAGAAAGTAAGTTTGAAAGAAAAGTCTGAAAGACAGAAAGATTGAAAAAAAATGATTGAAAGAAAGAAAGCTTGAACGAGAAAACACTGAAAGAAAGTAAGATTGAATGAAAAAATAATGGAAAGAAAGAAAGATGGAAAGAAAATGATTGAAAGATTGAAAGAAAAAATGAAAGAAATTTCGAAAGAAAGATTTAAAGAAAAAAGACTGAAGGAAAGAAAGATTGAAGGAAAGAAAGATTGAAAGAAAAAAGATCGAAAGAAAGTAAAATTCAAAGAGTGAAAGTTTGAAAGAATGATTGAAAAAAGAGAAGGTTTGAAAGAAAAAAAAACTGAAAAAATAGAAAGATTGAAAGAAATAATGATTGAAAGAAGAAAGACTGAAAGAAAAAATAAAATAAAATTCACAGAAAGTTTGAAAGAAAAAACTCAATGAAAGTAAGAAAGAAATAGCGAGAAATAAAGAGAGAGTGTGAATGACCAGAGAAGTGTGAGCGAGAATAAGATTATGAAAGAACAAGATATGTAAATTTACAGAGAAACAGAAGGAGAGAGAGAGATAAAAGAGAGACAGACATACAGAATAATAATATGAAAGAATAGAGAGGAAGATAGAAAAAAGAGAGAAAATGATAAGTACTCACCAGTAATAGAGAATAAATATAAAGAAAATATGAGACGTAGTTTCCGTAAATAGAAAGAAGTAGGGAGGGGGTAGTTAAAAACAAGGAAAGATAAATAAAAACTGAAAGGAAAAGCAAGAAAATCGAGGAAAAACGAACATTAAAAGATAACTTGAAAGGAAAAACGATGAAAAAATGACAAATCAGGAAAGATAAGAACACAAATGCGATTAGATTGAAAGACAGACGAAAGCAATAATAAAAGGAACGAATAAAAGAAAAGAAAAGAAAGAGAAAATGCAAAATAGAATAAAAAATATTCGTACGCCTTTTAGTTTCAATTGAGATATGGCAAAACATATAATTAAATTCTAAAATCAATTTATAAACGAGATATATTTCAATGCGTGACAAAACCTATATGGAGATCAATTTTCTGTATTTAGGAAGTAACAAAATAATAAAATAATTAAACTTTAATATTAAAGGAATTTTGCTTGATTAGTGTAAAATGATTCATTTTCATTCTTTCAAATATGAGAAATTGGTTTTAAATTTTAATGTAATAATTTATTTCACACATAATTTTAATTCAAAAACAGGTAGGTTTTGCTTATTGTCAGTTTTGTTTGTAAACGTTATGAACGCAATGAAAATATTTTTTGATTTGACTCATTTTCCAATTTTAATTTCAATCAGATTGCATTTTCAATTATCCCGATATAAGTTCAGTCACTACACACACACACACACACACACACACACACACATACATACATACATACATACATACATATATATATATATATATATATATATATATATATATATATTTTTGGGTGCGGTATATAACGTTTATATATAAGAATAAGTTTAGTAAGAATGATTATATATAAATTTAAAATTCTTAGCATACTCTCTCTCTCTCTCTCTCCCTCTCTCTCTCTCTCTCTCTCTCTCTCACAAATGTGTCCATGTGTACTCGCGTCAACGTAAACATAGCTTTAGTCCAAAAGCTTTTTTTTTGATACGCACATATATCTCTCTGTCGCTGTCTCTCTCAATCTTTCTTGCTCTCTCTCTCTCTCTCTCTCTCTCTCTATATATATATATATATATATATATATATATATATATATATATATACACAGAGCGGGCGATGGATAAATTGTCGTCTAAATTAAATGAAAATAACACTGACAACGCATTATAACATATATTTAACAAAATTACACAGAAATATCTTAAAACACTAAAGAGTAAATTTATGAGATTAGATCGACATTGCGTTCAACCACGGTCTCTACACGATATCGGAATCTTCTGCATCTCTTCTGGACTGTCATCCTTGTTTAAATTGGTGAATGCTACCATAATCCCTGTCTTCAGTTCATCTTTGCTTTTACAAGAAGTTGCAGTCTAGGGCGTTATGTGGCCAGATGTTAGGGGTCATGTGTTCGCCTGCTGCTGCTGCTGCTGCATGGCGCAATGTCCTGTTGCCAGACATAGAATTTTCCAGCGGCCTCCATATGTTGAGTCTGATGCCCGCCAACAAATCATTCTTTAGTTCTTTTCTTATCAGAACGATCAGAGTGAGTTTTACGAGCTGCCGTAGATTTGTAATCACTATTAAAATCATCCAACTCCATCCGAATACCCTTCACTGCCCTCAGATTAAAACGCAAATACTCTGTAATGTTCGTATTAGAGCCTCCAGTCCGACGGCCAAGTAGTACACCTAAATGTTTCCAAATCGGACTTTTTCCCACAGATGGTGCCCAACTGATCATAATATGTTTTGCAGTCGAAAAAATTTAAAAAAAACAACAAATTTATAAAATGTCGACAAGTTACCCATCGAAATATATATATATATATATAAAAACATTTGGAAATATATATATATATATATATATATATATTGAAACTTTTGAAAAAAATCTTTGTGTATAAAATTAGAAATTAAACAGCAAAATAAAGATGCCAAAAGTCTCTATGTCATTAAAAAAAAAAAAAAAAAACGACATGCGAAAAAAGGATGTCTTAATTTTTGAACAGGCATCTCTATCCTACCTTAAATAAACCTGATTTGGAAAGTAGCTTAGATTTGATACAGATATTGTCGTGGGGAACGAATACCCTACCACCCTATATTAATAATGATTTCATTTCTCGTAACCTTGACAACTAATAATATGCGCTTGTAAACCCAGTAATTTTAAAAATAAATTCTCCCAGAAATCACTTGAAAATGAATCAGAGCCAAAGATTTTAACTTTAATTCTATAATTTAATTTAAAGTTTAGTTTCTGATTTTGAAACATGACAATTCCTGTGTAGCGATGGAACCATATTTTTAAATTAGTAAATTTAGGCACTACTGAATTTTATTGAACATTGTTTTCTTTTAAATAAAAATAAAAATTATTCATAAGAACACAAGATTATAAATCTTACTGTTCTTTCTCATTATATATATATATATATATATATATATAAATATATATTGGCTCACTTTTCTGAGCTCCTGATTGCTAAGACGGCAAGCTAATCTCTGTTATACAATATACAATTTGTGTTAGTTCAACACCCACAAAAAGCACCTGTGGTTTAAACTGCAGCTATACTGACCCGTAACTTGTTAGGGTCTGAGAGAGAGAGAGAGAGAGAGAGAGAGAGAGAGGAGGGGGAAGGGAGCGCATTCTCTGGCAAAATCAGAAGTTTGGCAGCACGTCCGAACCCTTGGTTGCAATGATTTGTGATTGCTAACACAACCAAAAATATTCATGTGAGTGCCGGTACGTCAAAACGATCGTTGCGAAAGTGTCAATTTTTAGACATGTTACACTGAATACGACAAAAAAGAAGTATTTTGGAGATTTTATTTAACTTTCCTAGTCCAAGACGAAGAATATGAAAGATGTCTCCGTAGTGAATATTGTATCATGCAGTTCTTTTTAATAATTTAGCCATTTTAGAAGACAGAAATTGTTTAATATCTGCTATTATAATTTTATCATTGTATTAAATCCTATGTTTTACGGCAGTAGAATTAGTTCTATTCATATTGGAGTTTTTATATGTGAGGCAGACTAAAGAATACTTAAGCTATAAGAGAACAAAAGGAAAAATCACATGCACTCGATTTGCATCTTAATTGGCACTTCGGGCTGCGGAAGCCAATTGTTTATCTCAATATGTACCGTCGAATTGCAATATTTACATAGTAGCGTGCAAAAGTTAAAGCCCACGTTAAACCATAATAAATTATCTACTTTTCGATGAATGTTATGTCCCGATTTGTAAGGAATTACACTATGCGAGATTGACTTCCATAGCTAAACTTCACACACTGTTGTTCGACTTTAAAATGTAAGAGAAAAATATTCGTTAATCTACAAAAATGACCGTATATAAATCATACAGCACACTGCATAAGTTAGAAACAAAATGTAACCGAACCATAGTTTCAAAATAAAATTCTTTTTCAGAGTTATTTTTACTATTATTTGATTTCTGATGTGTACTCATTTCTTTCCGGGTCCCGCCCAGGGACCTAAGATTAGAAATGGCATCATGACAAAAAAAAAAAAAAACATATTTTACATAGACAACGCCCTACGAAAGGTGTGGACTGTATTCGTGAGAACAAATTTTTGTATTTCTTTAAGAAATAAATTAAAAGAAAATATCGACGAGACCTCAAATACCATGATGCTCAGGTTCGCAAGTAAATATACATAGAGATAAATATTTATAGATGAATATTATTATTAGTATGCATACATATAAAATCTATCTATCTATCTATCTATCTATCTATCTATCTATCTATCTACGATCGCAAAAGCGTGAAACCTAGGCTCACAAACTCACATCATTCCAACCAGATATGTTAGCTCTATCTCTGAGAAAATTAGTACCGCGTATATAATATATAAATATTACTATATATAATATATATGATATATTACACACACACACACACACACACACACACACACACACACACACACACATACATACATACATACATATATATATATATATATATATATATATATATATATTTCCTTCATATAATTACCGTTCAGACCTTACCTATATGAAATATGTGCAATTTTTTTTGAAAACGTCATGTTACCATTTCTGACCTTATGTCCCTGGTCGAGACTCGGAAAGATACGTGTATGCACCAGAAACCAAAGGGAATAAAATGATAATAATAATAATTCTCTATCGCATTTCAAGTATGTAAAGAAGTACAAGTAGCAGATCCACTGCAAATGCACAGAAGCTGAAAAAGAAAGCAAAAGTCAATGCAATGGACCAGATGGCGAAACGATGGTAAGATGAGATATTTCATGGTCAATACTCTGCCCGTACCATTTTAGATTTAGACAAACTCCGTGCCCATCAGTCGTTACGTGGTCCAGATTTAAGAGCTGAAATTGAAGGTTCTCTTATTTGCTGCACAGGAACGATGCTTCCTAACTGGAAATTGCCGAGCATACATTGTTCTTGTTTAAATTGGTGAATGTTGCCATAATATCTTGCCTTCATTTCATCTTTGGTGTTAAAATGATTTCTCTCGCACAAAGCGCTCCATTCATGATAATCTAAGTGGTTGCAATCTGGGGATTTAGATGGCCAGATAATATATATATATATATATATATATATATATATATATATATATATATATATATATATATATGATAGAAATCATTAGGCGGAGTTGATAATTATATTTAAGTAATTCATTGAGTCTGATAGAAATCTCAACAGAATGCAGAAAGCACTGGACGGCCGTTTCGTCCTATATTTGGGACTCATCAGCAGTGCGCATCCACTACTGAGAATTGAAACCCTGACAGGTTGTCAAGCAAACATCATACCAACTGTTCGGTGACGAAGAGATTGCAAATCAGACTCAACAAAGCACCGCTCGCTCACATATTCCGTGGTGGAGCTTTGTTGAGTCTGATTTGCAATCTCTTCGTCACATGAGTCCCAAATATAGGACGAAACGGCCGTCCAGTGCTTTCTGCATTCTGTTGAGATTTCTATCAGACTCAATGAATTACTTAAATATATCTATATATATATATATATATATATATATATATATATATATATATACCGGACAAGTAAGATTTTGTTTTAATGAACTTTATGACATTGAAATGAAATTGTATGTATGTTTATATTTATATTTTTTCGAATAAGCTGTTGCATTTTCGGATCAAAATGATATGCTTGTGCAAAAAATTCATTTTTGGCCTGCCATTTCGACCGCCTCAAGAATTATCAAGAAATAAATGTTCTCCCAATGTTAGACAGAATTGTTAGCAATATTCTGTTATTTTGGGAAATTAAACTTACCAAATATACGGGCATTGTGTAAGAAATGTCATGTGTAGGAAATTGTCACAGGGTTTCCTAGCATTAGAAAATGAATGTATTAACTGTTTTGTTCTATTATAAATATTAAAAAGCAAATGTTAAATATTAGATATCTATTTTAAAATGCTGTTGTTCTCTTGCGAAACATAGTTCTCCTTCTTTCAAAAAATAATTTCGAGTATCGAGATTGAAAATACCAAGCTAATAATCAAAAAAATATATATTAATATATTGTTCATACTAGTTACACACTCGTCCTGGGTAGGACGTTAAACTACGTCCAGCAGCAATACTATGGGCAAATAGTTACCAGCAATACTTTTTTGAAAATGATTATTGCCAGCAATACAATTTTGAAGGAAAAATATTAACAGAAACAGATTTTTGACAAAACAAAATATTACCAACAATAAGAATTTTTGTCAGCATTAAATAACCCATTGAGGTTGATATTTCGTTAAACAAAATAAACCAAAGAATGCATACTCTATTCATAGGAATCTATCATATAAATGTTGTCGGCATTAAATAACCCATTGAGGTTGATATGCCGTTAAACAAAATAAACCAAACTAATCTAAGCCAAAGAATACATCTTGTATTCCTACGAATCTATCCTAAAAATGTTGTCAGCATTAAATAACCCATTGAGGTTGATATGCCGTTAAACAAAATAAACCAAACTAATCTAAGCCAAAGAATACATATTGTATTCCTACGAATCTATCCTAAAAATGTTGTCAGCATTAAATAACCCATTGAGGTTGATATGCCGTTAAACAAAATAAACCAAACCAATCTAAGCCAAAGAATACATATTGTATTCCTACGAATCTATCCTAAAAATGTTGTCGGCATTAAATAACCCATTGAAGTTGATATGCCGTTAAACAAAATAAACCAAAACAAACTAGTAATACTCACTCTCGTAGATTAATCCTGTCAATTATCCTCAAACCTTCGTGCATTCGTACGCATATTGGCTTTCATAACACAAACAACCAAAATACATCAGTTAACTTAAAATAGATACTAGTATATAATACCAATATTCTATGCCGCACACACTGTAAATTACGCCGGAAAATGAACAAAGCTATTCTTATATATTCAGGGTATAGTAATAGTTGAAAAAGCAATGTCTTTCAGAATATAAGCAATGTATAAAGATAGATGAAAATATCTTTAGGAACAAAAATTGCTATTTAATATCTAATCCATTATATAACAGCGAACATTCCTCAGCTATGTTTGTCTCTTTACTATCCCCTATCTAAAATTCTTTTGAACAAGATTGTTACATATATTACACGCTGTTTCCTTTTGCGCTTGTTGCTTTCATTATATTCTGGAGTCAAATTCCCCCTACTCACTTTCCCCATTATGTATTGTAGAAATTTAAATACAAGTATCGTTTTCTTTAATATATTCATTAAAACCTCCTTTTTGTCACGTGTTCTGTACATGCTATTCGAAGAATTCTTCTGTAGAACTACACCACGTTTGCAACAAGTCTTACCTTCACCTGTGAGTAAATTGATCAGCATGTACTTCGCCATAGGAGGATAGATATTAAATAGATGTTATGCGCTCATTGCTTTGTTTCTAATGAGAGTTTTTTTTTTAATATTTTGATTAGCATTTGAAATTCTGTGTCAATTTTCGATCGTCTGTTAAAATATTTCCCAGTGGGATAACATTTTGTCGATACTTGATATAGTTAAGTTAATGAAAGATTCCTTACATGCTAATTTCGATCTTTTGGCATTTTCTATACTATTCTTATTACTGTCAAATAAAATAAATAAAAACACAGTTATTTTGTTGGAAAAAGCTATGAGCAACGTTTTGCAGAATGTTTAGCTCATAGGGATTTGTACAAGCACAAAATCTGTTTTTTATTACCTACAGTTACTGGAGTCATAAAGAATTTTCTGCAAGGGGAGATCAGAATTAACTTACGAGTTTGGCAAATCTTCCGGGAAGATAGTTCTAATCTCCCTGTTGTAAATTATTTATGACCCCCTAAAACCATAGTCAATAAAAAGCATATTTTCTGTTTGTTCGTATATGATGAAAATGATTTCATGCGACTCATCTTTTCTCTCTGGTTGACATTCGTAACATCACTTTCTTTAGATATATTCGAACTGATCAATCAACCTTTCTTGCGTATTATTATTATTATTATTATTATTATTATTATTATTATTATCTTCTTTGATTTCTGTCGTTTAAACATTTCTTTGCAGGTCCCGTCCAGAGACCTAAGGTTAGAAATGGCATCATGTCACTT